CCATAGGGTTTGGCAACATGGAAGCTATTAATGACCTCGACAAGAGGAGTCTCTATGAAGTAGTGAAGTCAAAGCCTGAATGAAGTGGATTAAGAAGATATTTTAGGAAAGAAGGTGGAGTCAGTATCTATAAACAACTCTTTCAAGAAGTTTTACTGCAAAGGAAGCAAGAGAAATAGGGCAGTAGCTGGAGGGAGACGTGGGGTCAAGAGAGGTTTTGGTTTTGTGTGTGTGTGTTTCTAGAGAAAGGATGCTAGAGCATATTTATATGCTGATGAGAATGATCTGGTAGAAAGGGGGAAACTGATTATCCAAAAGAGAATATAATTATAGAAAAGGCCTTGCGAGGTAAACGGTTAGGATTCATAGTATAAGTAGGGAGGTTAGTTTCGATGAGAGGAAACACAAAGAACTGCCACGGGAGGGAAGGCAGAGTGTGCAACATGCAGGTAGGCTGGTAGATTTGTGGTAGAAAGCTGTGGTAGGATGTTAACAGGTGAGTAGTTTTATTTTACCAAGATGAGATGAAAATCAATATGGGGAGTGGGAAAGGAGTATAGGTTGGAGGAGAGAGGTGTAAATAGTTGGGAAAGAGAACATAGATACAAATACATGTATATATACTTACATGCAGTCAAAGGGCATTTGTGTGTATGTAATACACCATAGGAAAAAGACCTATTGTATATATTATTTTAAAGCCATTTTTACTAAATATTTTTGAGACATCTTATTTGAAAGAACTGCAACTGAATTCTCTGCTTTCCAATGACTCTGATAACAGAATCCTCTTTTCCATGGCGTGGATTGAGGAAATCTCAATATCATAGATACTTCTCATGTTTTGTTACTTATTTTTGTCTATTACAGTGTAAAAGGCAGAAACATTTTGCAGCTATTCTAATTCAAAGCCTATGAAAATTAAAATTACTTTAATCCTGAAAGATGTGTACTGTATACTCAAGCTGTCAGCTTCTTCAAAATACTGTTTTGGAGGGTTTTGAGCCCCCATCTGAATTAAAAAAATAAACAAACAGGCTCTAATCGTTTAGTAAAACAATACTTTTATATTGTTTTGTTTTCATATAAAAAACATTAGTACCATCTATCATTTAGGAGAAATACACAGGCAACATGCTGGTTTTGTTCACTGTGCCCTCCTTGTCCCGCAGGAAGGATGTGATCTTGTTGTTGTGCTGGGAGCTTTATTTCTGGGTAGGCTGTATCTAATTCAACGTGCTGGCATTTATAGGCGCATACCTATTCCTTGGATTTGATGTACAATCAGATTGTGAATAACGGAATAAGATTGCTCTCCATTTTTTGCTGTTTTAGCACAGCCAAAAACATAAATATATATGTACGTATAAATATTTATTTGATTAAACACAATATTTAAATGACCATGTCAAATATTAAATGGTAGATGGCAACAGTTGCAGCGTATTCAAAATAATAGTTATAAATATCTTGGGGTTGGCCCGTGCCCGAGCGGTTAAGTTCGTACTCTCTGCTTTGGCAGCCCAGGGTTTTGCCTGTGCGGACATGGCACCGCTCATCAAGCCATGCTGAGGCGGCATCCCACATGCCACAACTAGAAGGACCCAAACTAAAAATATACAACTATGTACCAGGGGGCTTTTGAGAGAAAAAGGAAAAATAAAATCTTTAAAAAAAAAAAAAATTTGTAGCACAAATCCTAAAAAGTTTACTAATTTAATACTAAATGGTACATTAATATAAAATACCCAGAGAATACGTGTCTAGGTTGAGACGCTTAATCCTTCAGAGAGCAGTATCTGACTCATGAAAAACTGCAGCTGAAAACATTTTCCCTTCCTCTAAGTATGAATGATTTTTAAAATGTATCTCTTTGTAACCTGTCATAAGGTTACTTACCATCAATTATGGATTTAGGACTGTACCTATCAACTCTTGCCAAAGGGGGAAGATCTGTTTGTGAGAAGAGGGACGTGCGGCACCGTATTTTTTCCTCTGGCGTTCCATCACTATTTAGAGCTTCAGCACAGGCCTTCCACTCAGGTTCCTCACAGCTATGTCCTCTTTTCTGGTTGTATCACCATAGGATAGAGAGAGAAACACAGTAAAAGGGTGTTAACAATAAAACTGCAATCCTACCTATTATCTGCTTTACTCTAACAGTGAAGTATCCAGACTCACTTGAAGGTGGTATAGTTTTCATCTTATAAAAATCTGTTGTAATATTCTGATGTTCCATGTAAATTTTCATGTGCTGGCATGCCTACAAGTTAATAGTGTGATAGAATGCTCGCGCTCAGTGAGGGATTGTTCGTGAACTGCATTACATATGTCATCTATCGACGTGCTGAAAGATTATGGTGTTTAGCAAAACTACCTGCTGAGCAACATAATAAGATTTTTGTACAAAGTACAAATTACTAATTATTGTATTTTATTTTTCTATGATTTCCTAAGAGGCATTATCAGGGTCTTACAGATGGAGTAAGCCTGTTTATTAAAATATCTATTAGCAAATAAAAGTTACAGTTCTGGTGGTTGAATTTGTGACTTTTTTGTATTGTTGTATTGATGCGTATTTAATATAATTTATTTTTCAGTCTATTGAATCTAGATGTTCATTAGATACATTAGTAATTCTGGATACAAAATCATAGCTAATTTTTCAAAATAATGTCATTAAGGTCAAGACATAAATTCACATAAATCACTATAAATAGTTGGCACATATTTTTGTAGTGATTTTATATCAGCAAAATACTTTCTGAGACTCCAGGAAATTAAATCGTTCATTGCAGAGATAATATTGTACACAAATTGCAGATGACCAAAAGATACACATAATGTCCAACTGTTCAAACAGCTTTAGACTATCAATATTCATTCCAAAAACTTCCCATAAATCACAAATCAGGGATTTTCGACATTCTTTTAAAAAACATAAAAGTATCCTGAATTAATCAGAATAGATATCTCTCATTTCTTTTATAATTCTTTTACTACATTTCTAAAAGCCAGTATGAAATCAAACCTAGTAATAAAGTATCTGAAACTTTCTTCTCTTATACAGGTATCTTAAGAAGCCTTCAGAAAATCACCTATCATTTCTAAAGCTTCTTATTCTCATAATAAAATGAAGAGAGCCACACTATCTTCTTAAATCAAGTGGAACAATTTTTATGCTGAGCCTGAGTGTACTCCTGAGAGCTGTTTCAGTTGGCAAAGCACCAAAATAGCAGATTCAACCATATGAAATATTTGTGGTTTTTTAAGATTGATATTTTCAAAACTGGCATTTTCTACATTATTGAGTAGATAAGTAGAGTAAGTTTCGTGACCACTATTTCATCTCTGACAATAATAAGCCATGACATCATCTACACTTACCTATTTACTTAGCTGATTTTTTTTTGTAAAACAATTATGTATCCGCCTAAATTTCCTGAAAAGTTGGATACCCAATCTCCCCATTACATTTCCATTTTCATCAAATGTTTTGCACTAAGCAAATATAGAACTCAACCTAGGGGCAGAAAAAAGCAACTCCAAACAGGAAAAATTAAGTCTGTCTGCTAAAGTTTTCCGAAACACAAGATTTCTGCTTATTTAAAGAAAAAAAATGTGTCAAGTTCTGACTATAAGCAAATTAGCTTCCATCTCTTATCAAAGTGAGTCACACAGAAATTAATCAAGACCTCCCTGTAGATGCATTCCGAGTCAGAAGTGCAAGGACAGCACTTAAACATCCTACCCATGTAATAAGGAGTTCAGAGCAAGGACAGCACTTAAACATCCTACCCATGTAATAAGGAGTTCAGAAGAGGAAGACAGGAAAGTGCTCACTAACACCCACTGGGCGCAAACACGCACAGTGTACACTTCCGTTAGCTAGTCCTCAAAACCACCAGGTGGGAGAAAGCCGCAGCGCAGAGATGGGTCACCTGGCCGCGGCCACACACTAAGGCAGAGCCTAGTTCCAGACTCCACTTTCACAGGCACACGTGTAAGCCAGTTCTTTTGGACACGCCACTGTAGGGGTTTGGTTTTGTTAGGTTTTGCCTCTCGGCAGATTCACTGGCTCAGATCACACTTTTCCCCATTGTAAAACTAATGTAACCACATTTGAAAATCTGGAAAATTTTCCAAAATTAAGTTTCCAAGATCAACTTTCCAAGTTAACCATATCTGAGACTTGGAGAAGTAACAGGAACGGCACCCCCTGACCATGCCGTGCACGCCTTCCACGCTTCCCTCACCCCGAACGGGCCGCCTCAACCAGCAGGACAAGGAGGGGGCAGCGGAGGGGGTCCCCGCGCCGGGCGAGGGGACAGGGGACGAAACCCCGCTGCGAAGACGGCCGAGCCGCGCACGCCACTCTCCGCGGGCGGGGCTGACGGGCGAGGCCGACTGAAGGTGGACAAGGTTCCTGGACGTTCACAACTCCGGCCGCGTCCGTCCGCTGGAAAGCGTCGGGGCAAAAGGCGGAGAAACGCGCGGTCGCAGTGTGCTCCGCGGAGGCGCGATCGCAGCACCCTCGGGGCGAGAGGATGCTCGAAGCCCCCGGCCATCGACCCCCTCCCGACCCCGCCGGGGATTCTGCGGCCGTCCTCCGTCCCCGGAGACCCCACCTCGGGGACTTGTCCTCGCGGCCCGGCACGCCCCCTTCCCCACGGACGCCCGGGCCCTTCCTCCCCACCACGTTCGCCGCTCGGCTTCTCCCGACTCCGGGCCCGGCGCTGTGGGACCCCGGGCGACTCAGCGACCGTCCCGCCCTTGCCGGTGTCGGGTCCTGAGGCGGCGGCACTCCCGACATGCCGTGCGCCCCCGCGGGGCCCTCGGCCTCTCGCGGGAGGCAGCAGTCCCCCGCACCCGGCTCGCAGGCCCTTCGGTCCCCCTTGGCGAGCCTCGGGCGTTTCCGGGAGCTCTTCGTCAGTCAGCCGGAGCTCCGCGCCGACTCGCGGAGCCCCGGGGGGAGTGGCCTCGGACCGGAAGGCCCTCCGGTTGCCAGGGCAGCGCCGCGCGCCCGGCCCGCCCCCGATGCTCCGGCCGCCGGTTGGGGCTCGTGGGGCTGCTGTGCTCGGACCCGGGCTCCGTCCCGTGGGAGCACCGAGAGCAGGGCAGGGACGCTCGCACCAGACTCCGGCCCCGAGGCGCGCCGAGCGAGCGGTCCCTCCCGCGCCGCGCCCCGGCTGTCGCCGCGTTTCCGCCGGGCGGTGGTTCCCGAAGACCGAGGGCTGGGCAGGAGCAGCGGGCGTGCGCGGTGAGCCGGCGCGGGCCGAGGGTGGGTGGGTGCGTGCTTGGTTGGTTTTAACGCTGCCCAGTGTGGGCGTTTGTGTTTGGTATGTGGGAAGTGTCATTGAAATGTCACCATCAAAACGGGAAGCCGAGTCAACATGTGTATTTGGGGTGGGAAGGGTGTGCTATAATGCACTCTAGAAACGTTTACAAGTTTCCCGAGCGCCCTGCAGGCGGCTTTCTCGGCCCGACCACCCGCTCTCTGCAGCTTAGGGTCCAAGCTCTTAACTGGATAGCATCCTGCGTCTTGAGGACTCTGCTGGCGACCAGTTAATCCTTTAGAAAACAGTTTCTCAGATAACAGCCGGGAGATTGGGATTGGCTGGTGTGCAGAGAGACGAAAGCGGTCAGATAAGAAATTGGGAAGATAGAGGGGAGCCAGACGGTGAACAACCTTAAAAGATGCGCATAGGGTTTGGACTTCATTCTGGAAGCCGGTAGTTCTCGATAGTGACTGTACATCAGACACACTGTGTAGCTTTTTAAAAACAGATGCCCTGATCCCATCTTCAGAAGTACTAATCCAAGAGTTGATTCCAGTGTGCACCCAGGGTTGAGAATCATGGCTGTAGGAGTAGAGCTACAGGAAACTTTAATTATATCTCCCACTGTAAACCTAGGACATGATAAATAAATCTTGAGTGGCTTGAATTATCTTTTATTTCCTTCTTTCACACATGCAAAAAGTAAACTTACAGAGTGTATAATTACTAAGGAATAGAAGGACGTATGAGGCTGTATGATAGTTGTTTATAATCAGTAAATGTAATTACATCTTTTAGAACAACTGATTTCTCTTTTAAATTGTATGTCCCCAACTTTTTCAGTAATAAGCATTAGGTCTTTGATAAACTATGAAAAAGGAACGGACACAATTCGAGGTTCTACGAAAAATGAATATTGAGGTATCAAGCTTTTGACAGTTGATGCCTTAGAGTAGATGCCCACAGGGGGATTATATGAGAAGTAGTCATATTTTTAAAAATCTGTTCAAAATTGTATGGGAAACAGAAGCTTTTATAACAATATATTTAGTACAGTAAATAACAAAGTGAGTAACAGCAAATTTACTTTGAATTAAAATGGTCTGTGTGAACTGTTTCATGATATCAGAAGGCTAACTTAAAGTAGATTCCGCAAATGCCTATCCTTAAGCTGAGATTTAAAGGAATGGGTTGAGTGAGATTTTAATCTCCAACACAAGGAGAAAAGTTGATTCGAGTGACCCAAATGGAGGACCTGAGATCAAACTCATCCGTTGGGTAAGACAGTGTGGCTCTGTCTCAGGCCCCATGCTTGGATGGGGCACTGACCTGCTCTTTTCTGCGCGTCATTGGAATTCAGTTTTGAAATTTCCATCCATAATGATCTCCCAAGGGGCCCAAGCAAGTCGACGATGCAGCCTCCTTTCAGATGGAGTTGTCTTGAAAGACTTATGGTCTAAGTTGCTGCAGCCTCACATCCTTCAGGGTATGGCCTGGCCTGGGATGATATGGGATAAAAAGTTCTGAAGGAGCTGTGAGATGGCAGGCTTCCAGAAGCTTAGATGGAGATGAGAATAAATAAATGAGATGAGATTAATATTCCGAGAACTTTGGAAATGATGGTCCAGAGAGTAATAGGAAGTAGTTGGAACACAGGTGTATGGTGGTTGCTGCTGTACTCGTCCCTGTAGCACCTGAGGGCTGTCAAAAGGGGCGTCTCTCTTCTCCCACCGCATGGTAGTGTTCTGGGAGGTGACGGGCCCAAAGGGAGCCCTATGGAGAGTTCCATATGGAGACCTGAAGTCTAAATTTAACAGCACCTTAGAAAAATATGAACAGCCAGAAAATTGCCATATAGCACCAGTGTGTCATCAGCAGTTGTGTCTGACTTCAGAGTACTTCTGTGTTTGGGTTGCTGATGGAGTTTTTTTTTTAAGTTGGCATTGGTAGGATTTTTGTTTTCCAAAGAGAGAATTAATACACAAATAAATAAACACTTCTGGGACAAGTTAACAAAGAAACTTTTATAGTATTTGAAAAAACTAGAGTAAAAGCTAAGATTAGTACTTACTTTCTTATTCTTTATTAGTATACCTTTTAAAGTTCTTTTAAAATAATACTTAACAGGATATTTCAGATAAGTTTTAACAAAACACATATTTATTAAGGTTCGATTAAATTGTGTGTATTTTATACATAACCTTCTTCCTAAATGGGTTTGTGGTGACTCACAAAGATGTATATAAGGACTAAGGGAAAGTTAAGGTAAATATATCAGTTAGGATTCTTTGTTTCTACTGATAGAAACACAGCCTGAGCTGGATGTAATCAAGCAAACGAACAAAAAGAGTGACTTTAATACTTAGTACTTCATATTATTGCAAAATATAGCAATGGGCTGGCTTCAGAAAAAGATTTAGCTAGTGGCTCAAATAATGTAGCCAAAATCTAATTTTTCTCTATTTTTCTGGTCTGCCTTCTATTTTCTAAGCTTCAGCATCAGGCTCTCCATGAACGCCGTTGCCCAGACATTGTTCCAGATTTCCAGAAAAAGCAGCAGATATTTTCAAGTATCATGAATGGCAGACTCCACATCATACTGAGTTTAATGACATTTTCTTCTTAAATATTATAAATTACAATGAGAAATGTACAGGTATTTCAAGGGCATTATTCTGTGTTGCCAGGGGTTATAAGCTGCCAAACTGCATTTCAGTTAAGGCTCCTTTCCAGTAATCAGCTTAAACTCGGTTTACTAACGCAAAGCTACATTGACATAGTTTTCACAACATCATTGTGTCTTTAAATGATTAAAATTTTTGATATGGATGCTCATATTTTCCAGACTCACGGTGCCTGTGGGTAATATATCTTTCTTTTGCCTGACTTGCAGCTGGTTTGTCAATGTTGGAGTCACATTATGGGATTGCTAGACAGACTCTCAGTGTTGCTTGGCCTGAAGAAGAAGGAGGTTCATGTTTTGTGCCTTGGGCTGGATAATAGTGGCAAAACAACAATCATTAACAAACTGAAACCTTCAAATGTGAGTATCTTTGTTAGATGCTTTTCTTGTTTTCTGCTAGAGAAAGTTACTGTGAAGAATAGTTTGTTTGCCATTATAACTTCATGTAATCATATTATGAAATCCTTGTAGTAGCCTAAAGCGATAAGTATCGGTCAGCTGTAGTTTGCAGTATACCCTTTATGTGGGTATACAGGTACATTTTGATTATTTAAACTTGAATATTTTCCAAATGCCTTTTTTCCTCAAAATATCTTCACAGATTTGCTGAGTTTGTTTTCAGGTAGCATTGCCTTCTTTTTGGCTCCTTCCTCACAAGAGGAGCAAAACAAAGGGAAAGTGACTCATTTTTATAGGTTCCTGAGAGTGTGATGTGCTCCCCGTCAGCAGTGAGCAAGGTGACTTTAAGCCATTTAAGTAATAAGTAGGTGAACATATTGTTTTAATAGCTGGACAGTGTATAAGCTAGTACATTCTATACATGATGCAGAAGTTAAAGTTAGGTTCTGCCTCATGTAAAGAAAACCCACATGACACTGGACTAAATAAGAGAGAGGCTTCTTTTTCTATCATCTAAATAAGCCAGAGGAGGGATTCCAGGGCTGGTATAGCAGCTATGTGGTCCCAAGAGATCCAGGCATCTTCTGTCTTTCCACTCTGCTATCCTTAGTGCCTTCTCCACCCTCAGGATCTCTACATGGTCACCTTGGTTAACTATCATGTCGATAGTCTTAAGTCTCAAGAAGGAGAAAAGAAGAGGGCAACAGAATAGGCCTTCTTGCTAAATAAGCCCTCTTGAAAGAGCTGACCCAGAAGCCCCACTAATGACTCTTACTTACAGCTCACTGGCCACCCCTATCTCTCCGTGAGGCTGGAATTTTTTTTTTCAGAGCAGAAATAATAGGGGTCCTGTAAGTAAGACGGGAAGAATGAATATTGGGTAGGAAACTAGCATTTACAGTTATAAATACATTTATTTAGGTAAAAACCATTAATCAATTAATGACAATTGTTGAATAAAAGATAATATAGACTGCATACAGATAGGGCAAAAATTAGGAAGCTGGTACTGTTTTTGTTTATTTTTTTATATTTTTTTAATTTTTGAGGAAGATTAGCCCTGAGCTAACATCTACTGCCAATCCTCCTCTTTTTGCTGAGGAAGACTGTCCCTGAGCTAACATCCCTGCCCATCTTCCTCTCCTTGATATGTGGGATGCCTGCCACAGTGTGGCTTGACCATCGGTGCTAAGTCCGCACCTGGGATCCGAACTGGTGAACCCCGGGCCGCTGAAGCAGAATGTATGAACTTAACCACTGTGCCACCCGGCCAGCCCCAAGAAGCTGGTACTCTTAAGTACTCTTGGAGAGTGGGAAATGTTGCTGTTCGATATAGTAATTAAAGGTAGACAGGGAAAAAGACATTCTTCCTCAATAAGGAAAAAGGCCCAGATACATTGGAGTCTGTCTCCTGACCTAGGTGATTACAAGAAATTTCTTTATCAGTCCTTAAGAGGAAGATATACCATCCTACCCAGTTGGATGGGGTCCAGAAATGAATTTAGAGAACCACGGATGTCTGGCGAAGTAGGACCCTACCCGCCTGTGCCTGGGTGCGTAATCATGCTGTGAACTGGCTGTCACTAGATCCACCTGGGCTGCAGTGACTGGTGAGCTCTATCTGCACAGGAGCCGTAGGTGCGCAAGATTACAAGGGAGTGTCCTTAGGTAAGGGCCTGTTCTACAGGAGGCCTTTCCATTTTCTCCACATCAAAGAATAGTCTCAAAAGTAACTTTTTGGGGGGGGGAGCGGTAAAAGTAGTCTCAAATAAGTACAAAGTTATTGAAGCCAGAGCCACAGTTAATAGCCCCAAAATAGACCGGCCCCTCAGTGCCTACTATACTCGCACTGTCAGAAATAACTTTCAAAGAACAAAATAGAAATTATAGTCTCCTCTTTTGTCGTCCCCAGCAGTGTAGTGACCTTCTGTCCCAGACATGGTTATTACCATAGGAATAATCTTTGCTATGGATGGGAACAAGTTTTTCCCCTAAACAGGGTTGGTCTTTTGAAGACTCTTGCTCTTATTTTTTAACTTAGTTATGGAATTTTTTTCATAATTTCTGTCATTTCTAGGGAATTGAGGCAGAAAGGGAAGGAGACAGCCTGTGCTCAGTCTGTCATCTTGAAATATTTTAATACCCCTGTTTCAGACTGGTCTTGTGAAGGACGTATTGACCCTGCCTCACTTACCACATTGGTCAGGGAGAGCCCCAGGAAAACCCTGGTACAGAGCTAATAACTGAGGCTTTTTAATTAATCTTCTACTGCCTTCCAACATCCCTGCCTCTCTGTTACATCTGGTCAGTTATGGAACCAGCCTCAACAGCTCCTGGGCTATTTTAAGGGGATCACCTAATTGCTGACACCACTTCCTGAGCCTTAATCTTTGGGCAAATATCCTGTCTCCTCGTAACGATTCATCTCTAGATCCTGAGAGCAGAGTAAGTGTCTTTGTTTTTTTTTTTTTAACTTGGTGATAATAGACAAGAGGCCGCTTGAAATGGGACTTAGGCCCCAAAACCTCTGTCACTCAGGTAGATATGTAACACTCGCTTCCTCCCTGCCTTCAAACCTAAAAAGAGCCTCTGGTGAGCTTACATCTACTATTAGAAACATTATTCCTAATGAATTAAGTGAATTATAGAAATCTACAATGCTCTTAGGGAATGTCTTATAAAAAAAATTGCAAATCTTATTTATAGTAATCTCTTATTTTTTTGAGATTAATATCATTTTCTATATAATTAGATACTTACTGGACCTAAACTGGATTTTAATATTAAGCTATCTTAATGTTTGTTTATTGTCAATATATTGAGGTTGCTGGTGTCTTTTAAACTGATGAATAGGGAGAGAGGGGGAACATTTTAACCTGTTCACTCTTTTCAAGAATCTGGTCTTAGCTGTCATTTTCTTAGAGATGTACTTTATGAACACCTTTCTGTTAAAATTCCCATTTTCCCCCCATTCCCCGACATAACTGCTCTCATTCTGTCACATCATCCAATTATACATTCTCAGCGTTTGAAACAATTTGAAATTATGTTGTATATTCAGTTGGTAACTTGTTTATTAAATTTTTCCTCATAGTAAATTTAAATTCCACAAGAGCACAGATCTTTTGTTATTCAACACTGCGTCCTGATTACCTAGAATATTGCTTGATACTTAAGTATATTTTTGGATGAATGGACTGATGGGTGATTTCTTTATTTTCATTTTTTGGCAGGGAATGATGACTGATGGCACCAAGGATGTCATTTTCAGCACTTAATGACACTAATCAAATAGGGTCTCTCTCAGGAATCTTGTTCTATTTTTGTTGATGTTTGTCTATCCCTGGGCTGTCTCAGATGGTTTGCTCCACTTAGGTCGTAATTCCTACACTTTTTGCTTGCTTTGCACCATTCACTGTCTGATTTAGAGAATGACTAAATGTTTTATTCCTGGATAGAGCAGGGACAGATGAATGTTGGAGACTATCTTTTGCAATTCCTTAGAAGAAAATGAATCCCACTTGAATCTGGAAGTCCCAGGTCACATATCTTGTCCTATCCTGATTAATTTGTGCAGTTTCTACTTTCTAATTATCTTACATTAGAACTTTAGAAGTGAGGGGAAGAAAAGAAAGTTGGTTAATTTTATCCCTCTTAAGCAAAACAGCAAGTTAAAGGGAGATTCTCTGGAAACAAAGAGTTTGCGAAGCAGCCGGGTGATGTTGGAGGGGCTAGGAGAATGTTCTCATTACAATGGGGGAGACAAGCCTGCTATCTTGAGGCATACTTTCTGAGCTGTCTTTAAACTTTTGACTTCCTCACTTTTTTATTTTTCGTATGTTTTCCTAATAATAATAGCGGATAATTTTATCACATGATTGGCACATGAAAACCCTTAAAATCAGAACAGTGGAACATTTTGGGACAACAAAAATTAGGAAACTCTTTATTCCAAAGTTTGTTGTGTATTGAAGGAACCCTAAGGTACGAGGCAGGAATCTGAATTGCAGGGAGTAAATTCTGTCTACCATAAACAGAAGAACACTAGGCAGCTCGTAGGATGGGAGGAAAGCGGAATAAACAGACGTCAGAAGGTGACCCAGGGCCGCTCTGCAGAGGCCTTCTCCCCGGCACATCGCTGCTGAGGTGACTAGCGCCAGGGCTTTCAGCTTCTGCCTTTCCATCTGAGTTTTGAGTTTCCAGAAGTAGACTACCAAAGTGAACATATGCTGTGGGGCAGCAGTTTCCCCTCTCCTCCTCCTGTTTTCACGTGAAAGCAGCAAGGTGAACTCAAGGGGTTATTTTTTAAGTTACACTTGTGGGAGTGTGGAGAAAATTGGGGACGAGACTGAAATCAGGGAGTATAATTATAATAACAGCAAATATTTGTGGAGTATGTACTGTGGGCCAGACACTGTGTTGAGTGTTTGGCATCAGTTAACTCATTTAATTCTCGTGATAACTTTATGAGTTAAGGGTAATAATAACGTGTTTCACATTTGAGAAAACTAAGGCTTAGAGAAGTTGCGTAACTTGTCTAAGGGAGCACGTGAGCGGGTAGGAGTCATTAGGAGACTGTTGTAGCTGCTCACAGCAGGAAACGGGGAGGCCTGAATAGTGAGTGAGCTGAGGGGGTGGTGTTCTGTCGGGGGCGTGGGAAGGGAGGAGTCAAGAATGACTCCTAGGGTTTTGTTCAGAAGGAGGCGTTTGATGAGGTAGGTGGTCAGTGTGAGGCTTGTCACTGCCTGCGGGACTTGGCGGCAGGTCTCCTGCTGTTCCCTTGCCCCAGCAGTCTTTTCTCCACACATGTTCCCCACCACAGCCTCGGGGCCCTGCCTCTCCTGCTTGGTTGCAGACAGCCCTGTCCCTTCCTCAGGGCACCTGAGACAGACAGGCTTACTGGGGGGTATGTTCCTCCGTGTCTTGGGGTCATTTGTGCTGGCTAATCCCTCTGACTGGAATGTTGTTTGCCAGGATCTTGTGGTAGCTTTTCCCTGTCTTGATATTCACTCCTGGGTCAGATGTTGCCTCCTCAGAGAGGCTTTTCCTGGGCACCCTTCCTCCATGCCCCAGGCCAACCTCCTCTGCCCGGTGGCCTCCCACCCGGTCACCTTTCATTGCCCGCATCACTGCCAGAAGTTGTGTTCATTCGTAACCTAGTTGTTTATTGCTGTTCACCTCCTCTGCATCTTCAGCTCCATGAGAGCAGGGCCCGTGTATATGCACCATCTAGACATGAGGACTGGCCTCCATAGCGTGTATAAACTCAATAAGTATGTGATGGAAGATTAGAAAGTCCTGTGTGTGAACGAACTCAGGGTGACTCACCAAACCACGTGAAGTCCTTGGTAACTTCAGCAAGCCACAAAACGTGAATTAAGACACACATGTTATGCAGATTCCTTATTAGTAAATCTTAAACTTTAAAGAATTCACACAGTTATCCCGTTGCAAAAATTGTAATTTTGTTTAATCCTCAGTGGCAGATTTTAGAATTGGAAATCTGGATGCTTTTTTTTAACCTGACGAAAAATTTTTCTTTGGCAATTGCAAATTTCTAAACTTATTTTTTCTCTTAAAGGCTCAATCTCAAGATATAGTTCCAACGATAGGATTCAGCATAGAGAAATTTAAATCATCCAGGTAATTCACTTTATTATACTTGTGACTAAGAAGTTGTGGGTGAAAAATGATAATATTAGATCTACCTACTCATTCCTCCTACGTTTAGAAAAAGAAATTTGTTGTTTCAGAAGCCTGTAGGCATTAAAATATTTGTACCACTGCCTCTGGGTTTTTTTTCAGAATTTAGAGTTTAGACAAACTCTGATAATGTCGCTAGCAAAGAAAACATCTCTTTTTATATGTTATCCATTGAAAAATCATATTTATATTCAATAAATTCATTTTATGGCACTTGAAGATTGGCCCAAGTTGAATATTGTGTATTCAAGGGTGGTTTCTTTGATTGAAAAACAATTTACAATTTTAAGTAAAAGTTACATTTTAAGTTAGTAGCTTATAATGTCCTGTTTTTGTTGTTGTTTGTTTTTCTTTTTTTGTAGTTTGTCTTTTACAGTGTTTGATATGTCAGGTCAAGGAAGATACAGAAATCTCTGGGAACACTATTATAAGTAAGTATATTTGTGAATATTACTTAACTATATGGTTGTATTTTAATAACAGAAATGATCAGAAATCTAAAAGATTACATGGGCTGGGTTGCAATGTTTATTTTTTTTCCTATAATTTAAGCATATTTCCTAATTTTAAAAAAAGTGCAGTCATACTTGACATTATTTCTCAAATGCTTCGTATCCTTCATGACCTTGGGCCTTTGCAGGTACTGTTTCTGTTTTTAACACTGTTCTACCCTATCTCTCTGCAGCTCAAGGTTCATATCTTAATGCTTTAAAGACTAGCTCAAAATTCACCTCCTCTGTAAAGTGTCAACTTAAAAGGAAATTCATCTATTTTACCCTCAAAATGAGTTCACTCAGGAATAGCCAAAAGAACTGCAATTTGGGACGTGCACGCTATGGCAAACCCTAGGCAAATCCAGAAAACAACCAAGGGCGCTGCTTTTGTAGAGGAAAAGGGAGAGAGGGAGGGGCTGCTCTAAAGGAAAGCCCATTGGGGGAGAGTGACAGTTCAGGGCAGCAACGGCTTCCCATTGGCTGAGCTGCGGTGTTTCTGATTGGCTGAGCCGTGGAGTTTCTCATTGGCTGAACTGTGGTTTCTCATTGGCTGACATGCAGCATTTCTCATTGGCTGAGCTGTGGAGTTTCTGATTGGCTGAGCTGAAGCGTTTCTGATTGGCTGGGCTGTTGCCAGGAGGGAGAGAAACCTTCCTTCAGTAGTTAGGCAGCTGTGCTTCTGGTCCAGATGCCAGAGTCCATGTCTTCCTGTTTGGGGTAACTGCCTGGGGTGTGAGAGCCCCCCACAGGCCTTCCCTGTCCAGTTTGGCTAAGGTTTCTTTATCAGTTTCCACAGAAGTTTCACTGTTTTGCCCAGTCATGGTGCCCCCCATGTCCACACAGTACTCTCTCCATTCACGTGTCTGTCATCATTGTGTACCACAGCTGCCTCCCTAATGGGATTGTGAACTCAAGGCCAGGGATTATTTCTAATTCAGATTATTTTTTCAAGGCCAAGTATGATGCTGGGTAGTAAATATTTATAGAATAAATTTAGTTGAAATAACAGTGCTGTCTAGTGGTTGACCTATTTGTTCTACAATCATTCTAAACAAGATATTTTTCAGCATATGCAAATCAAGCTCTCACTAATTACTTCATATTAGCAGCTGTCAAGGTGCTGGAATCCCTGTGTGTTGTACCCTCTTGAGGTTCACCGTGGTGTTAACGTGAATTCGTTAACCTGCAGTGCTGCCAGGCTCCTCCCTTCCGTAGACAGCATGTGGCTCACTTTTGGAGTCTGAAACTTACAAACAGCAGCCTTTGAGGAAATGCCCTCTTGTCACTGTCTGTAACTCTTGCCTTGAAATGGTATGTGATGACTGCCAGATCAGATTTTAATTTTGAGTGATTGATTCTTTCCTTTAACGTGGGAACACAGGACAGTGTATTCCTCGGATGTGAACCAGAGGAGACGTGTTCCAGGTATTCTTTTCAGTGAGTACTAATAGATTGAAGGCCTCTTTAAATCACGGAGATGCAGAGGAGCTCTGAAGTACAGAGAAAAGAGTGCTTTAGATTTGAGGATCCATTTGAACAAGGAAAAGAGGCATGTTGGTGGTATCCTGCATTAAATTCCCTGGGGAAATGTGACTGTTTTTTTGGTTTTGTTTTGTTTGGGGTGTTTTTTCAGGTAACTTGAGTTTTTAGTATAGAATTGTTTTTATTCCTCCTCTAATTAGTTGGTAAATGATTCCCTTTTTTAAAAATGTATTTACTTCAGCTACTATTTTAAACATAACATTTATTTTAATTACAGGGAACAAAAACATAGAAAATAGTACTTCAACAAGAGGAAACTTTTTCTGATTTTAACTCCTTTTTCTTCAAAATCTTTTTGGAAGAAGTTAATGAATTCAGGAATATTATAGATAGATTGTAGCTTGGTTAATATGGTTACTATTGAGAAGTCTACCATAATAGTAAACTTATTTCCTGTATCTCTATACTTTAACAATTATGAAAGAACAAGTACATTTTAATCTGTTAGACTGAAAGGGGTTAAAAAGATTAAGTCTACTGTTGGCAAAACAGGCCACTCTTACAATGGAAATGTAACATCCTCTTCAGGGTAATTTATCAGTATCTGTTAAAATGAAAAATGTTCATGCCCCAGCCATCATTTTTGCTTTGTGAAAAGTACGGTATCTTTAGGACTAGTGGGCAAAGATACAAAGAAGAATATGTGTTGAGCATTATTTGTACTGACATTTTTAATATCTCAATTATATAAAGAAAAATATTCTTAATAAAAATATGTGCTTAGTATATATAGAGAGAAGAAAATTTATCAGTGGAATGTGCACCACACCATTAATGGCATTTGTTTTTGGAATGATAATATTATAAAGGAAGTTTATTTTGGCATTTATATGATTCTGTGATGTTAATTGTTATATAACTTTTGCATATTAGTCTTACCATTAAAAAAGAAATAAAGTATAAAATATAAGGAGTGCGCGTTTTGTAATGTTTGGAAAATATAGAAAAGAATATAAAAAATTGTTTTCCGTAAATCTCACTATTAATAAATTTACCATTGTTAATCTCTTTGATATGTTTCCTCTTTTTTGAAATATATGTTTTGTACTTTACGTAATTGAGAAAGGAACCCTCTAAATTATGTACCATAGATAGATTTTTATCCTGCTTTTCCAATTAACATTCTATGGTAAGAGTAAATCAAGAAAAACAGGCAAAGAATACAAGTCTAACGGCTGCCCAATATTTTTTCATGTGCCTGTGCCAAAATTTGCTTAATCATTTCTCTATTTTGGGACATAAAGGCTATTCTCAGTTTTTGAACATTATAAACAAACCTTCGTTTAACATCTTGTTGCATAAATCTTTGTCATAGTTCATGTTTCCTTAGAATAAATTCCAGAAATAAAAGTTACTGGCTCAAAGCGATTGAACATTTTTAAAGCTCTTAATAGATATTTCCAGCTGTATCAGTTTCTGTATCTCCTAGTACTGTATGACTGTGATGATGTGCATTTTTTTAAATGATGGGAGAAAACAGTATTAAAAAGTTGTTTGATTTTTATATTCATTGATTACTAATGACATTGAACTTCAAAGTCTTAATTTATGGCCGGAATAAGTGATTCACAAAAAGGTATGAATGTCCAATAAATATATGAAAATATATTGAACTTCACTAGCAATTAATGAAAACCAAGTAAGATAATGTGCTATTAGAATGGCAAAAATGGAAAAGAATGATAGCTGTGCTGGCAAGGGGGTGGAAAAGCACTGGTAGTAGTATGAATTGATACAGTGTTTCTGGAGGACAATTTGTTAGTGTTTATCTGAAACTTTAAATTTTGTATGTATTCCTAGAAATTTTATTCCTTAGCGCAAATCTTAAAGTATCAAGAAATTTTAAAAATGTGTTTAGGAGGGTGTTTATCCCCAAATTTTTCATAATAATGAAAATTGGAAATAACCTGTAAGTCAAACAATAGAAGTTTGGCACAATATTTGATGACACACCCATGCAATGTCATACCTCATCACCATTAAAAGAAAGGCACAGAGAGAATCAGTGATTTTTGAAGTGCCAGTGGGATCTATAAGTGAATTCTTTTTTTTTTAAGTATGCTTTTTTTTTTGGTGAGGAAGATTGGTCCTGAGCTAACATCTGTTGACAATCTTCCTCTTTTTTTTTTTCCTTCTCCAAAGCCCTGATATGTAATTGTGTCTCATTCTAGTTCTTTTATGTGGGATGCTGCCACAGCACAGCTTGATGAGCAGTGTATAAGTCCACGCCCCTCAGGATCTGAACCAGCAAACCCTGGGCCGCCAAAGTGGAGTGCACAAACTTAACCACTCGGCAATGGGGCCGGCCCTATAATTGAATTCTTAAGCCGGTTCACTGGCTGGTGATCAGCTTAGAAAAATCAAATAGAATAAAGTAAAAGCTGTTTCTAAGTATTGTTTCAGGAGACTTATTTCAAATATATTTACATATACTTAGGTGTCTACTGCATCTTAAAGTAAAAGGTATTTCTTACTGTGGTTATGGTAAAAATATTCAGGAAACACTGGTGTAGAGCTTTAATGTTTCATATGAAAGTAGATCAAACTATACTGCACAAAAAGATCAAGGAAATGTACATGTATATTAGAAAGGCAGGGTGTGGAAAAGCAGGGTCCCATTTAAATACAGATGTAGATATTCATATGTCAATGTACACAAAGGAAATGTCAAAATTGATTTACACGAGGGGCTGGCCCCGTGGCCGAGTGGTTAAGTTCGCGCGCTCCGCTGCAGGCAGCCCAGTGTTTCGTCGGTTCGAATCCTGGGCGCGGACATGGCACTGCTCGTCAGACCACGCTGAGGCAGCGTCCCACATGCCACAACTAGAGGAACCCACAACGAAGAATATACAACTATGTACCGGGGGGCTTTGGGGAGAAAAAGGAAAAAATAAAATCTTTAAAAAAAAAAAAAATTGATTTACACGAAAATATTAATCATTGTATCTGTGTAATATGGTTATGGTTTTTCTTGTAATTTTTTAAAATTATGAAATAAATCATTAAATTTATCATATTATCATCCAAATAAAAAGAAATTGTTACATGAAATATCACTAATAGTTACTATATTAATCACTTATATAATCTAATAAGAAACAGCACCAAAGCCTGTAATCATAAGTGGACATAAGATATGAGGAGATAATATACAGGTTAGGAAATGCAGATGAATAGCAAACATGGAGAAATGTGTAGGTTTATCTTAATTTTTCTCATTCTTTGTATTATACAGAGAAGGACAAGCCATTATTTTTGTCATTGACAGTAGTGATAGACTAAGAATGGTTGTGGCCAAGGAGGAACTCGATACCCTTCTCAACCATCCAGGTATGTTGTGTCTTTCAGTCTGTGAGATCTGTTGCTTTGGCGTCTGTTTACATAGCATGTTTTGTTCTTGGGTGTTGGCAAAAAGTGTTGCTTACACAATGTAATTATCTTTTATTTAAAATTTTTGAACTTTAAAACATATTCATAATGCAGAATTCATAATATTTTTACCTATAGCACTGTGTATCTTTTAAATTTCAAAGCTATTTGCAATGCTTTCCAAAAATAAAAATGCCTTTTTCTTAAGATTACATAAAGACTATGTGTCAATAGCAAAAAATGCAGACAGAAAACGAGTAAGGAAAAAAGTAAAAAGCCATGTCTTTCAACTCTCATTAGGTTTTTTTGGTTACCATCTTTACATGTGCATGTATGTATGTGTAATCACAGTATTTCTTACAGATTTATTGTGGGAATTCTTTTAAAACAAATCTTTTCTGTTTTTAAATTCCAACTGTCAGCCCCACCCCTTTCAAGATACCAGTATTAACAGTTTGGTGTTTTTTTCTCTCATACCTTTATATATACCATAGCATTCACATATATATATGCACACACACACACACATATACATACATATGTGCATCCTTGCATACATACATATACAGGTACTAAAGGTATATATGGGGTTGGGGGCTATGAGGACTGTCACTGTTATTGACTATAATGGGATCATATTCTATATGCTCTTCTGCATCTTCCTACCTTCAAATAACACTGCATGAAATCCTTTAAGTCCGACTGCATATATGTAATTATTCTTTTTAATGGTGCCTGATATGCCATACTGTGAGTGTATCACCATTCATTCAATCATTCACCTACTGATAGATACTCTTTTTATTTTTCCACACTACAAACAATGCTCCAGTAAGTATTGTGGAACTCTGCATTTCTGGCCTTACTCAAGCCAAAAGATTTTTTTTTTAATTGAGTTAATGATAGGTTACAATCCTGTGTGAATTCAGTTGTACATTACTGTTTGTCATTCGTGTTGTAGGTGCACCACTTCACCCTTTATGCCCACCCCCCACCCCACCTTTCCCCTGGTATCCACTAAACTGTTCTCTTAGTCCACATTTTTAAATTCCTCATATGAGTGGAGTCATACACAGATTATCCTTCTCTAGCTGGCTTATTTTACTTAACATAATTCCCTCAAGGTCCATCCATGTTATTGCAAATGGAATGATTTTGTTCTGTTTTGCAGCTGAGTAGTATGCCGTTGTATATATGTAACACATCTTCTTTATCCATTCGTCTGTTGATGGGCACTTAGGTTGCTTCCATGTCTTGGCTATTGTAAATAATGCTGCAGTGAACATTGGGGTACATAGGACTTTTGGGATTGTTGACTTCAAGCTCTTTGGATAAATACCCAGTAGTGGGATGGCTGGATTGTATGATAGTTCTATTTTTAATTTTTTGAGGAATCTCCATACTGTTTTCCATAGTGGCTGCACCAGTTTGCATTCCCACCAGCAGTGTATGAGGGTTCCTTTTTCTCCACAACCTCTCCAACATTTGTTAGTATTAGTTTTAGATATTTTTGTCATTCTAATGGGTGTAAGGTGATATCTTAGTGTAGTTTTGATTTGCATTTCCCTGATGATCAGCGATGATGAGCATCTTTTCATGTGCCTGTTGGCCATCCATATATCTTCTTTGGAGAAATGTCTGTTCATGTCTCCAGCCCATTTTTTGATTGGGTTGTTTGATTTTTTGTTGTTGAGTTGTGAGAGTTCTTTATATATTATGGATATTAAGCCTTTGTCAGATATATGACTTGCAAATATTTCTTCCCAGTTGGTGGGTTGTTTTTTTGTTTCAATCCTGTTTTCATTTGCCTTGAAGAAGCTCTTTAGTCTGATGAAGTCCCATTTTTTTGTTCTTTCTATTGTTTCCCTTCTCTGGGAAGACATGGTGTCCGAAAAGATCCTTTTAATACTGATGTCAAAGAGTGTACTGCCTACGTTTTCTTTTAGGAACCTTATGGTTTCAGGTCTCACCTTTAGGTCTTTGATCCATTTTGAGTTTATTTTGGTGAATGGTGAAAAAGAATGGTCAATTTTCATTCTTTGACATGTGGCTTTCCAGTTTTCCCAGCACCGTTTGTTGAAAAGACTTTCTTTTCTCCATTGTATGCCCTCAGCTCCTTTGTCAAAGATAAGCTATCCATAGATGTGTGGTTTTATTTCTGGGCTTTCAATTCTGTTCCATTGATCTGTGCACCTGTTTTTGTACCAGTACCATGCTGTTTTGATTACTGTAGCTTTGTAGTATGTTTTGAAGTCAAGGATTGTGATGCCTCCCGTTTTGTTCTTTTTTCTCAGGATTGCTTTAGCAATTCGGGGTCTTTTGTTGCCCCGTGTGAATTTTAGGATTCTTTGTTCTAATTCTGTAAAGAATGTCACTGAGATTCTGTTTGGGATGGCGTTGAATCTGTAGATTGCTTTAGGTAGAAGGCACATTTTAACTATGTTTATTCTTCCAATCCATGTACATGGAATGTCTTTCCATCTCCTTATGTCGTCATCCAATTCTCTCAGAAAGGCCTTGTAATTTTCATTATATGGGTCCTTCACTTCCTTAGTTAAATTTACCCCAAGGTATTTTATTCTTTTTGTTGCGATTGTGAATGGTATTGTGTTCTTGAGTTCTTTTTCTGTTAGTTCATTATTAGAATATAGAAATGCTACTAATTTATGCAAATTGATTTTATACCCTGCAACTTTGCTGTAGTTGTTGAATACTTCTAAGAGTTTTCCAATGGATTCTTTGGGGTTTTCTATATATAAGATCATGTCGTCTGCAAACAGCGAGAGTTTCGCTTCTTCCCTCCCTATTTGGATTCCTTTTATTCCTTTTTCTTGCCCGATTGCTCTGGCCAGGACCTCCAGTACTATGTTAAATAAGAGTGGTGATAGAGGGCATCCTTATCTCGTTCCTGTTTTCAGGGGGATGGGGTTCAGTTTTGGCCCATTAAGTATGATGTTGGCTATGGGTTTGTCGTATATGGCCTTTATTATGTTGAGGTAGTTTCCTTCTATGCCCATTTTGTTCAGAGTTTTTATCATAAATGGCTGTTGGATCTTGTCAAATGCCTTCTCTGCATCTATTGAGATGATCCTGTGGTTTTTATTCCTCAGTTTGTTGATGTGGTGTATCACGTTGATTGATTTGCGGATGTTGAACCATCCCTGTGTCCCTGGTATGAATCCCACCTAATCATGATGTATGATCCTTTTCATGAATTGCTGAATTCTGGTTGCCAAAATTTTGTTTAGAATTTTTGCATCTATGTTCATCAGTGATATTGGCCTGTAGTTGTCTTTTTTCGTGGTGTCCTTGTCAGGTTTTGGTATCAGCATGATGTTGGCCTCATAGAATGTGTTAGGAAGTGTTCCATCTTCCCTGATGTTTTGGAATAGCTTGAAAAGGATAGGTATTAAATCCTCTCTGAAAGTTTGGTAGAATTCCCCAGGAAAGCCATCTGGTCCTGGGGTTTTATTCTTTGGTATGTTTTTGATTGCTGTTTCAATCTCTTTCCTTGTGATTTGTCTGTTCAAATTGTCTGCCTCTTCTTGAGTGAGCGTTGGGAGATTGTAGGAGTCCAAGAATTTATCCATTTCCTCTAGGTTATCCATTCTGTTGGCATATAGTTTTTAGTAGTATTCTCTTATAATCCGTTGTATTTCTGCAGAGTCTGTTGTTATTTCTCCTCTTTCATTTCTGATTTTGTTTATTTGAGCTTTCTCCCTTTTTTTCTTTGTAAGTCTGGCTAGGGGTTTGTCAATTTTATTTGTCTTCTCAAAAAACCAGCTCTTTGTTTCATTGATCCTTTCTACTGCCTTTTTCATTTCAATAATATTTATTTCTGCTGTGATTTTTATTATTTCTCACCTTCTGCTGACTTTGGGCTTTATTTGTTCTTTTTTCTCTAGTTCAGTTAAGTGTAGTTTAAGATTGCTTATTTGGGATTTTTCTTGTTTGTTAAGATGTGCCTGTATTGCGATGAATTTTCCTCTTAATACAGCTTTTGCTGTATCCGATATGAGTTGGTATGGCATGTTATCATTTTCATTTGTTTCCAGGTACTTTTTGATTTCTTCTTTAATTTCTTCAATGATCCATTGCTTGTTCAGTAGTGTGTTGTTTAGTCTCCACATCTTTGTGCCTTTCTCAGATTTTTTCTTGTAATTAATTTCTAGCCTTATAGCATTATGATCGGAGAAGATGCTTGTTATTATTTCAATTTTTTTTAAATTTGTAGAGGCTTGCCTTGTTTCCCAACATATGGTCTATCCTTGAGAATGTTCCATGTGCACTTGAGAAGAATGTGTATTCAGCTGTTTTTGGATGAAGTGATCTATATGTGTCTATTAAGCCCAATTGTTTTAGTTTTTCATTTAGCTCCACTATTTCCTTGTTGATTTTCTGTCTGCATGATTTGTCAATTGATGTGAGTGGGGTGTTGAAGTCCCCTACTATTATTGTGTTGTTTTTAACATCTTCCTTTAGGTCTGTTAATAGTTGCTTTATGAATCTTGCTGCTCCTGTGTTGGGTGCATAGATATTTATAAGCGCTATTTCTTCTTGATGAAGTGTCCCTTTGATCATTATATTGTCCCTCTGTGTCTTTCTTTACCTGTCTTATTTTGAAATTCACTTTGTCTGATATAAGAATTGCAACACCTGCCCTTTTTTGCTTGCTATTAGCTTGAAGTATGGTCCTCCACCCCTTCACTCTGAGCCTGTCTTTGTCCTTGGGGCTGAGGTGTGTTTCCTGGAGGCAACAAATTGTTGGATCTTGTTCTTTAATCCATTTTGCCACTCTGTGTCTTTTTATTGGAGAGTTCAATCCGTTTACATTGAGAGTGATTATTGATGCATGTGGACTTAATGCTTCAATCTGTCGCTCATTATCTTGTTTTCTTGTGTTTCTTTTCCTCTGTGCTTTAGCCTACCCATTTAATACTGCAATTTCTTATGCTGGGTTT